CTTACTCAACTGTGCATCTTTTCTGTCTGCAAAATAAAAGCAAAGGAAAGGCATGGTCAGAAGGGACAGCTCCTCATCCCATGGCTAATGCCATGGAGGACTTCGACTTCCTTCAAGTTGGGGAAGGGCACTTACTCAACTGTGCATCTTTTCTGTCTGCAAAATAGAAGCGAAGAAAAGGCATGGTCAGAGGGGACAGCTGCTCATCCCACGGCTAATGCCATGGAGGACTTCGACTTCCTTCAAGTTGGGGAAGGGCACTTACTCAACTGTGCATCTTTTCTGTCTGCAAAATAAAAGCAAAGAAAAGGCATGGTCAGAGGGGACTGCTGCTCATCCCACGGCTAATGCCATGGAGGACTTTGACTTCCTTCAAGTTGGGGAAGGACACTTACCCAACTCTGCATATGTTTCCTCTGCAAAATAGAAGCAAATGAAATGCATGGTCAGAGGGGACTGATGCTCATCCCACGGCTAATGCCCTGGCGGACTTTGACTTCCTTCAAATCGGGGAAGGACACTTACCCAACTCTGCATCTTTTCTCTCTGCAAAATAGAAGCAAAGAAAAGGCATGGTCAGAGGGGACAGCTCCTCATCCCACGGCTAATGCCATGGAGGACTTTGACTTCCTTCAAGTTGGGGAAGGACACTTACTCAACATTCTATCTTTTACCTCTGCAAAATAGAAGCAAAGAAAAGGCATGGTCAGAGGGGACAGCTTCTCATCCCATGGCCGCTCCCATGCCCAGACATTAAAAGTTTTGATCTTTGAAGTGGACAGTGACCACTTTGGTCCCAAGAGGAAATTAAACCAATAGAAAGGAACCGATTGGGCAAGAGTTTTGCAAGCGGAGCAGTCAGGATCAACATATCCAATTACTCCAATTCCTCCCATAACCCCAATTCATCTGACAACCACAACACATCCCAAGGTCCCAATGATCCCATGCTCCCAGCACATGGCATAGATCCAGCACTCTGCAGCCTTCTATCAGTTCCATTAAAGGGACTTTGGTGGTGGAAAGGCCTGAAAGGACTCACTCAGTTCTCTGCTCTGAGCCGCTGGAAGACAAAGCAGAGGAAGAGATGGTCAGCAGGGCAGCTTGGTTTGTGGGGATGTCTCCAGAGGATCTGGACCTTTCCACCTACCCCACGGTCCAGCCACATTCCTATCCTCCCACCCACACCCCTTTCCTTTTTCCCCCTTCTTCATTTCTAAAAAGAAAGATAAATGTTATTTAATGAGAACTGGGAATCCCAGGAAATATCTCCCTTCCTCCTCCTGTGTGCCTCCATGGAGCAGAGCTCAGCACCACCCCAACCATCCCTGTCCCTGCACAACACCTCCCTGTGCTCCATCCCCTCCGCTCTCATCTCACCTCGTTTTCTGTGGAGAAAAACAATGCTGACAACAAATGACGCAACCAGAAGAGTGATGACCACAGCCAGAGCCACCTTCCAGGGATGGACGATTTGGGAAAAGGGATCTGGAAAAACATCAGGACAAAGGTTCCTTTTCCATTGCCATATGTGGAAAATCAAGACTTAGATTTGGGAGATCCCAGAACCAGAAGGGGCAGCGATCAGGGAGCAGTGACACACAATGGCAGCATGCCCAGCTTGGTACAGGAGAAGGAGCTGCTGAGCATCCTGTGCCCACTGCCACTGAGACATGAAGAAACCTATCCCAGAAACCCAACCCAACCACCTGATCCATGCAGATCCATCCCCAAATCACACCGTGTGCCTGCTCCAACTCCAGTATCTCATGGAGCAGTTCAGCCCCAACCTCTTCCAAAGGCTGCTGTCCTTCATCTCTCCATGCATGGACATGAGGATGAGGATGGACAGAGGTGGGGGTGGGACACACAAACCCAGGGACAGCTGGAGGCATCACCCCAGCCACTGACCTGACACCTCCAGGTCCACCACGGCTTCTGCATAATTGTCACCATCTTCCACAGTGCAAATATATGAGCCACTATCAGTGGATCTCACAGCTGTGATGCGCAGATCCAGGATTCCATCAGAGAGACCATCTCTGAGCAGTTCTGTCCTCCCTTTATATTCCTCCATCTGCTCCAGGTCGATTCCATTTTGGTAGTGGTGCACAAGGCCAGAGGACCGGTGCTGGATCCATCTGATGTCTGAGCTCCAAGCATCCTTGCACGGGGACAAGTGGCAGCGCAGCACGACGTCCTGTCCCACGATGGCAGTGACATGGAGGCTTGGTGCCACCACATTGAGCTGGGCTGTACAGTGAGAAGGGCACGGAGAGATGGTGAGATGGTGGCTGTGTGAATGTGGGGGCATGGAGCGGCACAGGGTGAGTTGGTGTGTGCTCCATCCCATGTAAAAGCACTGGAGAGGGAGCAGGAGGGAGTGGGGAAGGATTTGTGTCGGTGGGAGCCCACTGACGACGTGTAGTGAGGTGAAGAGGAGACAGAAATTCTACCCAAAATCACACGTTTCATGGAATAAACGCAGTGAAAGTGAAAGCCAAATGTGTCTGGGTGCTGGGCTTGGGTCTGGCCTGCTCCATGGCCACTCCCCCACCCAACAGCAAGACCTCTGCCAGGCACAGCAACCCCACAGGACCCCTACCTGATCCCAGATGCAGGAGGTGCAGAGCCACGAGATAAGGCAGGAGGGTCCTCCAGGGGAGGGCGAAAGTGGGGTGGTTGCAGCCCAGTATGGAGTGCATCTGTCCTGGAGAAGAGGAGGAGGGAAGGAGTTGTGTAAAGGAGAGAGAGGAAGAAGATTGAGAAGGATTTAATGGGTGAGATGGGTTAGAGGACTTGGAAAGAGTCTGGGGAAAAGGTTTGTGGAGAATATGAGGGCAGAAGCTGTAGGAGAAGAGAGCTGGAGCGGATCAGCTTTGCAGCGGAGTCTCACAACGAGGGATCGTTCTTAAAGGGTCTGAATCGCAGCCAAACCCCGCAGCAAAGCAGCTCTGTGGAGCTGGGGGCAGCGATACAGCCGTCCCATCCGCCTCCCTCAGCAGCACAGCAGCTCTGCTAAGGGTGGGAGGAAGGAGGAGGGCTGATATCCCCCCCGATGTGTACGGAGGGGGGGCCAAGGAGTGCAGACGGGGTGCAGTGCATCTGAAGGGCTGAGTGCTGCAGATAACAGAGGGAGGGGGGCAGGGTGGGGTGCAGACAGGGGGTGGTGATCTGCCCTCCAGCAGTCAGACGGGAGGAGGGGACCTCAGGCGTGGGGAGAAGTGAAGCTGGGAGATCCGACCCAGCTCTCTTATTGCGATGGGACAGCACGTTGTTGTGGCCTCACTCTGAGGGCTGTGACCTCTCTGGTTTCATTGAAGACTTTTTTGAAGTATTGTTGTTTATTCTCTCCCTTCTGTGTACTTATTTGATTATTTATTTTTGTCTGTTGACGTTTTTTCTTCCTTTTTAGCTCGCCTTGTTCAGTTGTAAACACCACGCATGGTGAGAAGGGTCGGCTTGTTATCCGATAGCCAGAGCCCGCATTGCTTTGGTTCCAGGATGAAGACTCAGCCTGTTCTGTGGAACCAAGGCCCCAGTAACTGATAACAATCAATGATTGATTACCATCAGCAGGTATGCTTTATTATATTGTGACAGAGAAGAACAGTGTTAACACCCAAAGCCATTTTCCACCTTTGCTTCTGCGTGCATGCTTGTATTTCCAAAAGCGTTACATATTCATTAGATGCCCACAAAGCCTGATACATGGTCATATTATTTCCCAAAATGTCCATCCCTTTTCCAGGATCTCTGTGTCCTTCCTTGCTTTCTATGGTTTCTTTCTTCCGATTGGATTTGAGTTGGAGGTCGCACATCCTGAGTTCAGTGGTTGCTGAGGCAGCTTTGGCTCACAGAACTGCAGTGTTCTCACTCAGAACAAACTCTGGCTCCACTTCGTTCAGTGTGGGTTTCCTTGCTCGATTTGAGGTATCCCAATTTTGGTATCCTGTGCAGTCAGCAGTCTATGAAGCTCAACTCCCATGGTTAGTGTGAGGCGCAGTTCATCTCTCAATCCAATTCTTCAGATAATTCTTCTGGAACAGAAAGAAAAAGCAACGGATGCTGAGGTGGGACAGCTTGTCATCCCATGGGAAGCCCCATATTGCTTTGATCTGGGGAAGACTCACCCGATTCTTCAGTTTCTACCACTGGAAAAGTAAGAGAAAAGCAGAACATGATGACAGATGCATCTCATTCCACAGCTCCCACAAGAATATCTCAGTGTTTTTAATATGGGAGGGGATACGCACCTGTCTCTTCACCGTGTTTTTCTGGAAAAAAATGAGAAGTGGGGCAGCTTGTCATCCCATGGCAAACCCCATATTCCTTTGGTTGAGGGAAGAAGACTCACCTGATTCTTCTCTTTGTTGCACTGGAAAAGAAAGAGAAAAGGATCACATGAGGAGGGGAACATCTCATCCCACAGCTCACACAGGCAGACCCCTTTTTTTCCCATAACCTGGGAGGGAGCACTCACCCATGTCTGCAGTTAGTTTCTCTGCAAAAGAAACAAATAAGAAATGCATGATGAGAAAGATCAGATTATCATGCCATGGCTGATCCCATGGGAAGACTCCAAATCCCACTGTTTTGAGGAGGGAGACTCACCCACTTTTGCTTCCATTCTTTCTGCAAAGGAAAAGCAGAAACAACGTGTGATGAGAAGAACATCTCATCCCACAGCTCACATGGGATGACCGCAGCATTTTGAAGTTAGGAGGGGACACTCTAGGAGACGCTCACCCATCTTTTCATAGAATGCCTCTGGAGAAGAAAGGGAAAAGCAGTGCGTGGTCAGAGGAACATCTCATCCGACATCTCCCACAGGAGGATCCCCTTTTATTTTTTTATTTGGGAGGGAGGGCTCACCTATTACTGTGACTAGATCCTCTGCAAAAGAAATTAGAAATACATGATGAGAAGTGTCAGAGGATCATCCCATGGCTGATCCAATGGGAAGACCCCAAATTCCTTCATTGTAGGCATGCAGACTTACTCAGATCTTCACTCCTTTTCTCTGCAGAGGAAAGGCAGAAACTGCGTGATGAGAGGAACATCTCATCCCATCAGTGCCACAGGCAGCACATTTAAAACTGCGGAGACTCACCTGCTCTCCATGCTCGTAACTCTGGAAAAGAAAGAGCAGAGCAGTGCATGGTCAGAGGGAACAGCTGCTCATCCCACAGGTGATGCCATGGGGAAACCCTGAATTCGCTCACTTTGGTTAAGGAGACTTACCCAGCCTGTCAAAGTTTCTCTCTGCAAAGTAGAAGCAAAGGAAATGCATGGTCAGGGGAAACAATTTCTCATCCCATGGCTCCTTCCATATCCAGACCACAAATCTTTTTGTTCTGGGAAGTGGCCAGTGACCACTTTGGTTCCAAGAAGGAATTAAACTAATAGGAAAGAACTGTTCGAGGTAGACTTGTGTAGTGGATCAACAGGATCAGCATGGGATACCATGACCCCTGTACATCCCAAAGTACCAGCGCATCCCAAGGCCCCAAAGATCCCATGGTCCCAACCCATCACATAAACCCAGCACTCTGCAGTCTTCTATCAGTTCCATTAAAGGGGCTTTGGTGGTGTAAGGGGCTGGAAGAACTCATTCAGCTTTATGCTCTGTGCCGCTAGAAAACAAAGTGGAGGAAGTGGTGGTCAGCAGGGCAGCTTGGTTTGTGGGGACGTCCCCAGAGGGTCTGGACCTTTCCACCTGCCCCACAGTCCAACCTCATTCCTATCTTCCCTCCCACACACCTTTCCTCTTTCCCCACCCTTCATTCCCAAAAACAAAAGGCAAATTTTATTTAACAAACAATAAGGGAATCTCAGGAAAAATCTCCCTTCCTCCTCCTGTGTACCTCCACGGAACAGAGCTCAGCATCACCCCGAACATCCCTATCCCTGCACAATACCTCCCTGCACTCCATCCGCTCCGCTCTCAGCTCACCTTGCTTTTTATAGAGGAAAATAGTGATGCCAAATAACCCAAGCAGAAGAGTGATGACCACAGCCAGAGCCACCTTCCAGGGATAGATGATTTGGGAAAAGGGATCTGGAAGAAACATCAGGCCATTGGTTCATTATACATTCCTCTGTGTGAAAAAGCAAGACTCAGACTTGGGAGATCCCAGAACCCAGGGGGGCAGCAACCAAGGAACAGTGACATGAAAAGGCAGCGTGCCCAGCTTGGCACAAGTGGAGGAGCTGCTGAGCATCCTGTGCCCACTGGCACTGAGACATGAAGAAACCCATCCCAGAAACCCAACCCACCCACCTCATCCATGCAGATCCATCCTGAAATCATACTGAGTGCCCTCTGCAACTCCAGCATCTCATGGAGCAGTTCAGCCCCGACCTCTTCCAAAGGCTGCTGTCCTTCAGCTCTCCATCCATGGACACCCCAGCCACTGACCTGACACCTCCAGGTTCACCACGGCTTCTCCACGGTTATCACCATCTTGCACAACGCAGCTGTACGAGCCACTATCAGAGGATCTCACAGCAGAGATGCGCAGATCCAGGTTTCCATCAGAGAGACCATTCCTGAGCAGTTCTGTCCTCCCTTTATATTCCGCCATCTGCTCCAGGTCCTCTCCATCTCGGTAGTGGTGCACAAAACCAGAGGACCGTTGCTGGATCCATCTGATGTCAGATCTCCAAGCATCCTTGCACGGGGACAACTGGCAGTGCAGCACGACGTCCTGTCCCACGATGGCAGTGACATGGAGGCTCGGTGCCACCACATTGAACTGGGCTGGGCAATGAGAAGGGCACGGAGAGATGGTGAGATGGTGGCTGCATGAATGTGTGGCACAGAGTGAGTTGGTGTGTGCTCCATCCCATGTAAAAGCACTGGAGAGGGAGCAGGAGGGAGTGGGGAAGGATTTGTGTGGGTGGGAGCCCACTGACGACGTGTGCTGGAGGTGAAGAAGAGAAGAAATTCTACCCAAAATCACACGTTCCATGGAATAAACGCAGTGAAAGTGAAAGCCAAGTGTGTCTGGGTGCTGGGCTTGGGTCTGGCCTGCCCCATGGCCGCTCCCCCACCCCACAGCAACAGCTCTGCCAGGCACAGAAGCCCCACAGGTCCCCTACCTGATCCCAGATGCAGGAGGTGCAGAGCCATGAGATAAGGCAGGAGGGTCCTCCAGGGGAGGGCGAAACAGAGGTGGTTGCAGCCCAATATGGAGTGCATCTGTGCTGGAGAAAGGTGGAGGGAAGGAGTTGTGGAAAGGAGAGAAAGGAAGAAGATGGAGAAGGATTTAATAGGTGAGATGGGTTAGAGGACTTGGAAAGAGTCTGGGGAAAAGGTTTGTGGAGAATATGAGGGCCGAAGCTGTAGGAGAAGAGAGCTGGAGCGGATCAGCTTTGCAGCAGAGTCTCACAACGAGGGATCCGAATTCTTAGAGGGTCCGAATCGCAGCCAAACCCCGCAGCAAAGCAGCTCTGTGGAGCTGGGGGCAGCGATGCAGCCGTCCCATCCGCCTCCCTCAGCAGCACAGTGGCTCTGATAAGGGTGGGAGGAAGGAGGAGGGCTGATATCCCCCCCTGGTGTGTCCGAAGAGGGGGCCAAGTAGTGCAGACGGGGTGCAGTGCATCTGAAGGGCTGAGTGCTGCAGATAACAGAGGGAGGGGGCAGGGAGGGGTGCAGACAGGGGGTGGTGATCTGCCCTCCAGCAGTCAGACGGGAGGAGGGGACCTCAGGCGTGGGGAGAAGTGAAGCTGGGAGATCCGACCCAGCTCTCTTATTGCGACGGGACAGCATGTTGTTGTGGCCTCATTCCAAGGGCTGTGACCTCTCTGGTTTCATTGAAGACTTTTTTGAAGTATTGTTGTTTATTCTCTCCCTTCTGTGTACTTATTTGATTATTTATTTTTGTCTGTTGACATTTCTTCTTCCTTTTTAGCTAGCCTTGTTCAGTTGTAAACACCACGCATGGTGAGAAGGGTCGGCTTGTTATCCGATAGCCAGAGCCCGCATTGCTTTGGTTCCAGGATGAAGACTCAGCCTGTTCTGTGGAACCAAGGCCCCAGTAACTGATAGCAATCAATGATTGATTACCATCAGCAGGTATGCTTTATTATATTGTGGCAGAGAAGAGCAGTGTTAACACCCAAAGCCATTTTCCACCTTTGCTTCTGTGTGCATGCTTCTATTTCCAAAAGCGTTACATATTCATTATGATGCCCACAAAGCCTGATACATGGTCATATTATTTCCCAAAATGCCCATCCCTTTTCCAGGATCTCCGTCTCCTTCCTTGCTTTCTATGGTTTATTTCTTCCAATTGGATTTGAGTTGGAGGTCGCACATCCTGAGTTCAGTGGTTGCTGAGGCAGCTTTGGCTCACAGAACTGCAGTGCTCTCACTCAGAATGAACTCTGTCTCCACTTGATTCAATGTGGGTTTCCTTTCTCGCTTGGAGTTATCGTGGTTTTGGTCTCTTGTGCAGTCAGCAGTCTATGAAGCTTAACTCCTGTGGTTACTGCAAGGCGCAGTTCATCTCTCAATCTGATTCTTCAGATGATTCTTCTGGAAAAGAAAGAAAAAGGAACGGATGCTGAGGTGGGACAGCTTGTCATCCCATGGGAAACCCCATGTTGCTTTGGGTTGGGGAAGACTCACCCGATTCTTCAGTTTCAAACACTGGGAAAGGAAGAAAAATAACACATGCTGCGATGGGACAGCTTGTCATCCCATGGGAAACCCCGTATTCCTTGAGTTCAGGGAATAAGACTCACCCAATCCTTCAGTTTGTTCTGGTGGAAAGGGAAAGAGAAGAGCAATGGTTGATGAGAGGAACAACTCATCCCACAGCTCACACATGCAGACCCTTGTTTTTTTTTTAATTTCAAATGGAAGTCTCACCCTGTCCTACAGCATTCCCTGTAGAAAGAAATGAATTAGAAACACATGATGAGAATGGTCGGATGATCATCCCATGCCCGTTCCCATGGAAGACACCAAAACGGTTTGGCTTGTGGAGGAAAACTCACCCAATATTTCATTCCATTCCTCTGTAAAAGAAAAGGAGAAACAACACATGATGGGAGCAAGATCTCATCCCAGATCTGCCAAAGGAGGACCCCAGCATTTTTAATTTGGGAGGGGAGACTCACTCCTGTTTTTCTTGTGTATCTCTGAAAAAGAAAGAGAAAAGCAGTGGTCAGAGGAGATTTTTCATCCTACAGTGCAGTCCCATTGGAAGACCCCAAGTTCTTTCACTTTAGTGACTGCAACTTACTCAACCGTGAATACTGAATCTCTGCAAAATAGAAAGAAAGAACACCACATGAAGAACTGGAACAGCTTGTCATCCAACAAGAAACACATATTCCTTGAGTTTGGCTTAGAAGTCTCACCCAGTTGTTCAGCTTGTTCTGCTGTAAATGAAAGAAAAAACAATGTATAACGAGAGGAACATCTCATCCACAGCTCGTACAGGCAAACCTCAGCATTTTTAATTTGAGTGGGGAGACTCACCCAGTTCTGCAACTTGTTTCTCTGCAAAAGAATAAGAAATGCATGATGAGAAGGGTCAGGTGATCATCCCATGGCTGATCCCATGGGAAGACCCCAAATTCCTTCAGTGTGGAGAAGGAGACTTACTCAGCTCTGAAGCATGTAAAGCTGCAAAGGAAAAGCAGAAACAGTGAGTGATGAGAGGAACATCTCATCCCACAGCTCACACAGGAAAACCCCATTTTTAAAATTTGGGACGGGAGACTCACCCGTCTTTTCATACTCTTTCCCTGGTAAAGAGAGAAAAGCAGTGCATGGTCAGAGGGAATTTTTCATGCCATATGCTGTCCCTTGGGAAGACCCCAAATTCCTTCAATTTATTGACTGCAACTTACTCAGCTCTGATTTCCGATTCTCTGCAAAAAAAGAAAGAAAAAGGACCTCATGATGAGGTGTGACAGCTTGTCCTCCCATGGGAAACCCCATATTCCTTGGGTTCAGGTAAGAATACTCACCCACTTTTTCAGTTTGTTCCCCTGGAAAGGGAAAAGAAAAGCAACGCATGATGAGAGGAACATCTCATCCTGTAGCTCACACAGGCAGATCCCTGTGTTGTTAATTTGGGAGGGAGGACTCACCCAGTTCTGCAACTTGTTTCTCTGCAAAAGAAAGAAATAAGCAATGCATGATGAGAAGGAGGAGATGGTCATCCCATGGCTGATTGCATGGGAATACCCCAGATCTCTTTGGTTTGGGGAGTGAGACTTACTCAGAGCTGCAGCACATAAACCTGCAAAGGAAAAGCAGCAGCAATGTGTGATGGGAGGAACATCTCAGCCCACCACTCCCATAGGAAGACCCTTGCATTTTTAAACTAGGAGGGGAGTCTCACCTGTCTCTTCATAGTGTTCTTCTGGAATAGAAAAATAAATTTAGTGCATGGTCAGAGGAGATTTTTCATCCCGTATGCAGCCCTTGGGAAGAGTCCACGTTCCTTGGGTATGGGGAAAACTCACCCACTTCTTCAGTTTGCTCCCCTGGAAAGGGAAAAGAAAAGCAACGCATGATGAGAGGAACATCTCATCCCACAGCTCACACAGGCAGACCTGTTTTTCTAATTTGGGAGGGAGGACTCACCCAGTTCTGCAACTAGTTTCTCTGGAAAAGAAACAAATAAGGAATGCATGATGAGAAGGGTCAGGTGATCATCCCATGGCTGATCCCATGGGAAGACCCCAAATTCCTTCAGTTTATGAAGGGAGACTTACTCAGATTTGCAGCACGTGAACCTGCAAAGGAAAAGCAGAAACAATGCATAATGAGAGGAACATCTCATCCCACAGCTCACACAGAAAGACTAAAATGTTTAAATTTTGGTAGCTTGGACTCACCCAACTTTACATATTGTATCTCTGTAAAAGAAAGAAAAAAGTGGTGCATGGTCAGAGGGGGTTTTTCATCTCATACGCAGTCCCTTTGGAACACTCCAAATTCCCTCAGTTTAGTTACTGCAACTTACTCAGTGATGATTTCCATTCATCTACCAAAAAGGAAGAGGAAAGCAATGGATGGTGAGATGGGACAGCTTGTTATCACATGGGAAACCCCAAATTCATTTGGTTCAGGAGAGAAGGCTCACCCAGTTCGTCAGTTTGTTTCTCTGGCAAAGGAAGAGAAAAGCACCGCATGATGAGAGCAACATCTCATCCACAAACAGACGCTCACTTTTTTTAATTCGAGAGGGAGGACTCACTCAGTTTTGCAGGTAGTATCTCTACAAAAGAAACAAATAAGCAGTGCATGATGAGAAGGGTCAGGTGATCATCCCATGTCTGATCCCATGGGAAGACCCAAAATTCCTTCCGGGTAGGGGGGGAGACTTACTCAGATCTGCAGCACTTAAATCTGCAAAGGAAAAGCAGAAAAAATGCATGATGTGAGTAAATCTCATCCCACAGCTCCCATAGGAAGACCCCAACTTTTTTAATTTACGAGAGGAGACTCACCCATATTTATTAAGTGTTTCTCTGGAAATGGAAGAGGAAAGCAGCACATGATGAACTGAAAATCTCATCCCATAGGTCACGCAGGCAAATTAGACCCTCCTTTAAAATTTGGGAGGGAGCACTCACCCAGTTCTGCAGCTAGTTTCTCTGCAAAAGAAATAGATCAGAAATGCATGATGAGAAGGGTCAGGTGATCATCCCATGGCTGATCCTATGGAAGACCCCAGATTCCTTCTGTGAGCTGAGGGAGAGTTACTGAGATGTGCAGCATTTAATGTGCAAAGGAAAAGCAGAAACAGTGTGTGATGAGAGGAACATCTCATCTCACAGCACCCATATGAAGACCCCAATGTTTTTAATTTGGGAGGGGGGACTCACTTGTCTTTTCATACTGTTTTTCTGGAAAAGAAAGAGAAAAGCAGTGCATGATTAGAGTGGAATTTTCATCCCATATGCAGTCCCATGGAAGGATCCCAAATTCTCTCCATTTACTGAATGCAACTTACTCATAAGTGAATTCCGTATCTCTGCAAAAAAGAAAGAGTGTAGCAGTGGGTGCTGAGGTGGGACAGCTTGTTATCCCATGGGAAACCCCATATTCTTTTTGTTCAGGGAAGAAGACTCACCCAGTTTTTCAGTTTGTTTCACTGGAAAAGAAAGAAAAAAGCAATGCATGGTGAGAGGAACATCTCGTTCCGCAGCTCACACAGGAAGAGCCCTTTGTTGTTAATTTGGGAGGAAGCACTCACCTAGTTTTGAAGCTAGGATCTCTGCCAAAGAAACAAATAAGCAATGCATGATGAGAAGGGTCAGATTATCACCCCATGGTGGATCCCATGGGAACACCCCAAATTCTTTCATTGAAGGGAAGGAGACATACTCAGATTTGATGCACTTAAACCTGCAAAGGAAAAGCAGAAACAGTGCGTGATGAGAAGGACATCTCATCCCACAGCTCACATGGACAGAACTTTAAATATATATATATATATATATGAAATGAGACTGACCCAATATTGCAGGTAGTTCCTCTAGAAAAGAAAGAGCAGAGCTGTGTACGGTCAGAGGGGACAGGTGCTCATCCCATGGCTGATGCCATGGGGAGACCCTGAATTCCCTCAGACTGGGGAAGGACACTTACCCAATGCTGCATCTTTCGCCTCTGCAAAACAAAGGAAGAAGCAAAGGAAATGCATGGTATGAGGGAACACCTTCTCATCCCACATCTGCTCTCATGCCCAGACCCCAAATCTTTTGATCTGCTAAGTGGCCAATGACCACTCTGGTCCCAAGAAGGATTTAAACCAGTAGGAATGAACAGATCGGGTAAGAGTTTTTCAAGTGGATCAGTCAGGACTGACGCATCCCATGGCTTCAAAACATCCCATTACTCCAATGCATCCCATAGCCCCAACGCATCCCAAGGACCCAGAGATCCCATGGTCCCAACCCATCACGTAAACCCAGCACTCTGCTGTCTTGTATCAGTTCCATTAAAGGGACTTTGGTGGTGGAAGGGGCTGGAAGGACTCACTCAGCTCTCTGCTCTGTGCCGCTGGAAAACAAAGCAGAAGAAGAGATGGTCAGCAGGACAGCTTCATTTCTGGGGACTTCTCCATATGGTCTGGACCTTTCCACCTACCCCAAAGTCCAGTCACGTTCCTATCTTCCCACCCACACCCCTTTCCTTTTTTTTCCCTTCCTTCATACCCAAAAAGAAAGGCAAACCCATGGTCCCAACCCATCACATAAACCCAGCACTCTGCAGTCTTCTATCAGTTCCATTAAAGGGACTTTGGTGGTGGAAGGGGCTGGAAGGACTCACCCAGCTCTCTGCTCTGTGCCACTACAAAACAAAGCAGAAGAAGAGATGGTCAGAAGGACAGCTTCATTTCTGGGGACTTCTCCAGAGGGTGTGGACCTTTCCACCTATCCCAAAGTCCAGTCACATTCCTATCTTCCCACCCACACCCCTTTCCTTTTTTTTCCCTTCCTTCATACCCAAAAAGAAAGGCAAACGTTATTTAATGAACAATCCTAGAATCTCAGGAAAAATCTCCCTTCCTCCTCCTGTGTACCTCCATGGAGCAGAGCTCAGCACCACCCCGACCATCCCTGTCCCTGTACAACACCTCCCTGTGCTCCATCCCCTCCACTCCCACTCACCTTGCTTTCTATATAGAAAAACAATGAAGACAAATGACCCAACCAGAATTGTGATGACCACAGCCAGAGCTACCGTCCAGCGATGGACGTTCTGGGAAAAGGGATCTGGAAAAAACATCAGGACAAGGGTTCCTTTTCCGTTCTCATATGTGGAAAAGCAAGACTTGGACTTCTCGATATCACAGAACCCGAAGGGGCAGCAAGCAGGGAGAAGTGACACACAAAGGCAGCGTGCCCAGCTTGGCACAGGTGGAGGAGCTGCTGAGCATCCTGTGCCCACTGCCACTGAGACATGAAGAAACCCATCCCAGAAACCCAACCCAACCACCTCATCTATGCAGATCCATCCCCAAATCACACCGTGCACGCACTGCAACTCCAGCATCTCATGGAAAAATTCAGCCCTGGCTTCCTTCAAAGGCTGCTGTTGTCCTTCATCTCTCCATGCATAGACATGAGGATGAGGATGGACAGAGATCATGTGGAACACACAAACCCAGCGACACCTGGAGGCGTCACCCCAGCCACTGACCTGACACCTCCAGGTCCACCATGGCTTCTGCATAGCCATGACCATCTTGCACAGCACAGCTGTACCAGCCACTATCAGAGGATCTCACAGCAGTGATGCGCAGATCCAGGTTTCCATCAGAGAGACCATCCCTGAGCAGTTCTGTCCTCCCTTTATATTCCGCCATCTGCTCTAGGTCCACTCCATTTTGGTAGTGGTGCACAAGGCCAGAGGACCGGTGCTGGATCCATCTGATGTCCGAGCTCCCAGCATCCTTGCAAGGGGACAAGTGGCAGCGCAGCACGACGTCCTGTCCCACGATGGCAGTGACATGGAGGCTCGGTGCCACCATCCTGAGCTGGGCTGGGCAATGAGAAGTCACGGAGAGATGGTGAGATGGTGGCTGCATGAATGTGGGGGCATGGAGCGGCACAGGGTGAGTTGGTGTGTGCTCCATCCCATGTAAAAGCACTGGAGAGGGAGCAGGAGGGGGTGGGGAAGGATTTGTGTGGGTGGGAGCCCACTGACGACGTGTGGTGGATGTGAAGAAGAGACAGAAATTCTACCCCAAATGGCGCATTTCATGATACACCCAAAGTGAAAGTGAAAGCCAAGTGTGTCTGGGTGCTGGGCTTGAGTCTGGCCTGCCCCATGGCTGCTCCCCCACCCCACAGCAACAGCTCTGCCAGGCCCAGCAGCCCCACAGGACCCCTACCTGATCCCAGATGCAGGAGGTGCAGAGCCATGAGATAAGGCAGGAGGGTCCTCCAGGGGAGGGTGAAAGTGGGGTGATTGCAGCCCAGTATGGAGTGCATCTGTGCTGGAGAAGAGGAGGAGGGAAGGAGTTGTGGAAAGGAGAGAGAGGAAGAAGATTGAGAAGAATTTAATGGGTGAGATGGGTTAGAGGACTTGGAAAGAGTCTGGGGAAAAGGTTTGTGGAGAATATGAGGGCAGAAGCTGTAGGAGAAGAGAGCTGGAGCGGATCAGCTTTGCAGCGGAGTCTCACAACGAGGGATCGTTCTTAGAGGGTCCGAATCGCAGCCAAACCCCGCAGCAAAGCAGCTCTGTGGAGCTGGGGGCAGCGATGCAGCCGTCCCATCCGCCTCCCTCAGCAGCACAGCGGCTCTGATAAGGGTGGAAGGAAGGAGGAGGACTGATATCCCCCCCGATGTGTACGAAGGGGGGGCCAAGGAGTGCAGACGGGGTGCAGTGCATCTGAAGGGCTGAGTGCTGCAGATAACAGAGGGAGGGGGGCAGGGAGGGGTGCAGACAGGGGGTGGTGATCTGCCCTCCAGCAGTCAGACGGGAGGAGGGGACCTCAGGCGTGGAGAGAAGTGAAGCTGGGAGATCCGACCCAGCTCTCTTATCGTGATGGGGCAGCACGTTGTTGTGGCCTCACTCTGAGGGCTGTGACCTCTCTGGTTTCATTGAAGACTTTTTTGAAGTA